GCAATTACCTTTTGTGCAATACTTTTTGTTAATAGTCAACGGTGCAATAGACCTCAATACTTAAAATGTGCAATTCACTTGTATTTTTATTTTTATTTTTAGTCCTATTTATTCTATTTATCCCCTTCGTATATTTTATTTATATATGTCTCTATATTTATATATGTGTGTGTATATATATAATATTCTGCTCACGCTCTGTAACTTCTGTCGGTGCTGTGCTTTTGGAAACCAAATTTCCCAGAGGAACCCACCCGAGGGATTAATAAAGTTTTATCTTATCTTATCTTATCTTATCTTATCTTATCTTATCTTATCTTATCTTATCTAAGAGAACTGTACTGTATAGTTGTGGTAGCATCATCCTTTGGAGCTGTTTTGCTGCCAGTGGTACTACAACATTACACTAATGATTAAGGAGGCTCCAAATTCTCCAAATTGGTTGAAACTTGGACACAGTTTGTTGTTCCAACAGGTCAGTGATCTCAAACACACATCAAGACTGGTTTTTATAATGGGTAAATTATTAAGCTTCAGGAATGGTCTTCCCAAGTTCTTGGCATCAACCCTACTGAAAATTTGTGAGCTGTTCTTTAAAGCTCGGTCTATGCCAGAAAACTAATCAATTTAAATTAACTCTACCAAGATGAACAGTCAAATATCTAGTTAGCATTATCCCAGGAGTTTGTTGATGGCTACGAAAGCCATTTGGTAAAGGTGATATATATATATATACATTAATTGTGTTGGTCACCCTGGATACATTGGGCCACAGATTGAAGATTGTTAAAGGGAGTCTTTGAGGATTCTCAAATCGTCATAGCAACAGTGAGCAAAACTGTGTTTTCTAGAGAAGGCTGCGTATTTATGACTGGATACATCTAATCTTTAGTCTGTGATACACTTAGACTACCATAGATTACCACAAGCAGAGAAAAAGCTCATTTAACAATGTCAGCAACATGACACCAAATCTGACCTTCAGCTAAACTCTATTTCACCGATGCTCCCTTAGCTTTAGAGATTATTTAACACACTCTTTAAAGAGTTTAACTGAAGCAACATCATCATTTAACATCAGGTTGAGTTCTAAAGTGAATAAAATGTAAATTATCCACTAACCACCTCCTGCTCGTGCTTCCAAGGTCTTTTACTTACCATTTCTGCAAGTTGTCTGCAAATTCTTCAGTTGTTATTGTGAAGATTGTGAATCCATTTTGATTTTTCTGGGTTAAAACCCATTTATCCCAATTTAAACCTTAATTTGTTCCCCATATGTGTAATGATGGCAGTGATGAGCACGCTGCTTCAAAAGAGAGAGCCACAGCACTGCAGCGTTTTCCGATTACTTACCTTAACTTGATATCACACTGAAGCATTTCCAGCACAGACACAACAGAACTTGATAGCTGAGTGTTTTGTGATACCAAACTGCATTTGCACAACAACACACAGAGACATCTATTGTTGAAGAGGAACAGAGACCAGTTTCTTGACTGACAAAATAGACCAAAATGCAACACAACCTCATATCATAATTCTGCAGTTTTTCCAACAAGGAACCCTCTTTTTTGTGATCTGAACCATTGTAAAAACTAAATAAAGGGAGTGCTAACCCTCTCCTCACTGTCTGGGATGTGCTTAAAGGCATTTGCGGTCATCAGAAAATCACTAACTAAAACAGATGCACAGACGCGGATTTTTGAGTGGGGTAAGGGAAGTAAATTACAACACTTCATCAGAAAACCACTCCTGGGATGAGATGGACGTCAAAGATTGATGATATCAAAGGATGCAAGCATAATGAGGGAGGGGATTGATGGTTAAAAGCGCCTGCTTAAGGGCACCAGTGCATCTGCTGTCCTCCTTCTGCAGGACACAGCATCATCACACCGATTTCAGCTCCGGCACTGCGAAATCCTTCACTTAAATGAAGCCTGCCTGCACATCGACAACAGGCAGAGCAGTAATGAGACAGCACATCATTTCAATGTTCAGCTTGCAGGAGACACAGGCTGTAGATGCTGCGAGCAGATGTTTGACAAGACCTGAATGAGGATACAGAGCACGCGAAAAACAACTATTTTTAGAGAGACTGAAGCTCATTTCTGAATTGTCACATGCTGGATGTGTTTAAGAAACATTATCGAGTCTCTCTCAAGTTTTCATTCTCCCCTTTTAGTCTTTAAAAATCCTGGCAAATACATCTCTACCTCCTGTTTCTGGAAAAAGAAGTAATACAGAAGATGAGGCCAGCCCACTCTCATCAGTACTTTAGCAAATGTGTAATTACTTTGTCAGCAAGGGGCTTAAATTGCCTACCATGCTTTAAAGATTTGCTGTAGTTTAAGGTTAAGTGTTATCCATCATTTCATCGCAGGTGTGAGGGGCCTCCCCCCACACCCCACGTTCCATTTTAGCTCTTTTACTATACAGGCTAATTCCACATTGGAATACATTTCGCCTGTGGGGAGTTTAATTTGTATTAGTGACAGATCACTACTGCACCACGAGATGGGAATGAGAAGAGACGCTGCTTCCAGGCTCTGTGTGTTTTAGAGCTGCGGTGGGTTCATTCAGTTTAGTTTGCTCTCGAAGCCCAAACACATGAATCTTACAGTGTTTTGTCAAACAAAGGAGCCAATTTATCAAATGTCTCAACATTGTACTTACTTGTTTTCATCTCTCCCTTCAAATTATTTTTGTCTTTTGCTCTCTGCAAAGAGCTGTTTAATGGACCTGCTCATTCAAAACATTGTTTCACTTCTGTTTATCTGTCACTGCTCCATGATGGAGATATCAGTATAAAAGCCACAGAACAGCAACTCTTCAGTACGAGCGTTGTTCGTGTTTTAGACCATGTAGGTGTACTAAAACCACAGCAGTTTGCTATCAGTCACGCCCAGTTGTTCCTGTGATATCTCTTTTAAAACACTGTTTTTCACTTGTTGCTTTAATAGAAAAGTAGAAACCACAAGTAGAACAACGACTCCTGTAGGTACACCTGTTTAACTGCCCACTATCACAGTATCTAATGAGACAATCACATGGCAACAGCTCAGTCCATTTAGGCATGCGGACATCGATTATGTGATTACACAACAACCATCTGTAGGATTTACTTGTTTCCGCTGCAGAAAAAAAAACTTTTTTCCATCGATAAGTCAAAATTTCAACTTACTTGGCAGCAGTCTAGCTCACAGGGAAATCATAAGCTGTAAGCTTAAATACAGCAGCCCGGGTTCCTTTGAGGCATGTCTTTCCCCACTCTCTCTCCCTGCTTTCCTGCATGCTCTTCACTATCTAGCTAATAAAGAGAAAAAAAATTCAGCTCACTAACTTGAAATTTCACTTTTTGGGGGGAAGTTTGAGTTGGTGAAATTTAGACTGGATGGATGGCAAAAAAAATCCTTTTCAGTGGTGGAAACAAGCTTCCATACTCGAGAGAGAATGGTGCGAAAAAGAGAAAATATACAGAAAATGTCTATGAAAGAGGTCAGAGGAAAATGGCGAGAACGCTTCAAACTGACAGTTACTAAAAAAAAACAAAAAAAAAACAAAAAACAACAAGATCCACCTCATCCAAGGTATACAGAAGAGCATCTCTGAATGCAGAAGTCCACACTTGGCGCCACTCCTGTAAAAAAAAAGAAAGAAAGAAACTGAGGCTGAAGTTTTGAGGGGTTTAAAAAAATTGAACAATGGAAGACAAGGAGAGTCTCAAGAATTCTGAAGAGTTGGTTGAGTTGCTGCCATATTCAGATGGTGCGTAAACAACATGCTGGTGGTGTAATGATGTGAGGGACATTTTCTTTGCAATCTGTGCCCCCTGGTACAAAGCAAGTAACATTTAAACACCACAGCCCACAGAAGTATTGTTGCTAACCATGTCCATCCCTTTGTTCTGTGCCTAATGCCTCATAATACCTAAGTGGCCAATGAGTTCATTATTCATGTAACATATACAAACACACACACATATATATATATATGAAATACTATAATTATGTTTCCATAGTTATATCCTCAGACGTCTGAGGGTGTTCTTAGAGACGTGTCAATCAAAGTGTGATCAGATGAGGAACTTAGATTAAATATCAAGTACCATTAAGTACCATCAGACAGGACGATCTAAGTTTTATTTCTAACTAGATCTTTTGCTTATTTGTAGTTCTTTATTTATTGCGGCAGTTTGAGGGCTACACAGCAGATAGACCAGAGTATTATACAGTGAAGCTTTAAATACAAGCCTCACGAGTGAAAACCTGACTGCAAAATGGCACTAATAGCCATTATCGGCATTGCCTGAGAGACAGAAGTTTATGCTAAGCAGGAGCTGGATGTCAAATGCACTGCTGTTAATGTTAAGCTAAAAATAAAACAACAAACACTCCACAGCAACAGGCAACACATTTCCCTGACTACAAGTGCAAATACTTATGATGGAGAAATACTGCAGTCACTCAGTAATATATTTAAAACATCTTTTATTTTGCCATTATAAAATTCAATCTGGATAGAAAAAATATCTTTATTTTTTTAAAACATCTAGCACATTAAAAGAGAGTGAGCATGGTACTACAGATCTGAAATACAACATTGCAGGGATTTTTTTTTAAAGTGATACTTCTTTTATTACTTCTGGTGCACATATTCTCATGTGTTCTGACCCAATACTGGCTGTTCCAGGTGCTGCTGTAGAAGTATGTTCTTCTTCCCTTATCATCCTGACTGCAAACTCCTCCAGCACACAAAACAAACTTAACTGGGGCAGTGGAGTGTTCCAAGCTTCAGATTTGTGATTATGCTCGTCGAGATGCAATTTTAGTATTTTTTTTTTTTCCAAAGCAAAAATGGGCGCAGCAGACAGCCGCGCCGCAACAGCCGCAACAGCACCAGCTCACACCTCGAGGGCCACCTGAAAAGGCAGCGAGTCTGTCTTGAGAGAAATATCACTTAAAAAAAAAACAACAA